TATGGACACGGAGTTGGAACCAGGAGTGGTGGGATTGGGATGTGAGAGAAAACCTCAAAACTTCAGTTTCTGTCCACTGACTCGCTCCGCCCCCAGTTTCTGCTGCCATGCTTCTCGTTTGTCTTCTCTGGCACTGATAATTGGCGTCTGTCTTGTGTCAGTGACATAAAAGACGGATTTAATGCGACATGACCATTCAAACAGCAGTCGCTTTTTCTAAAACATCAGAAATGTATCAGATTCAGTACCACATACAAAAGTGACCTAGGTCGGATTTGAAAATATTGGATTTATGCTGTTCAAACTGTCATACCATGATTGGATATGGGCCAACAACATTCAGCAGTCCACAATCAGCAGGATCATCAAAACCCGGGTCAGTTTTTTGTACACCTTACTCGGCGCAGTTGAGATATGGTTGTCTCCTGAGGTGATTAGAACCACGATGCCAAGTGTGTTTGGAAAGTACTCTGACACCCAAGTCATTGTTGACTCCATGACTGTGAGATGTCAAATGCCTTCATCTTTACTCTTACAGATGAAGAGAAAAAGTGAAAAAGAATTATTTAGGCAATCTGGCAGTATCCCGATTCTGGATTAATATATGGCTGTAATGGTGGATAAGAATTGATGACCTGGCTGGTGCCCTGCAAAGTCTACAGACCACCTTTTCTCAGTAAAAACTTACAACTCTAACATTATGATGTGCTGTTCACTCAGGACATTGCAAGGTTAAGGATACATGCGAAGAGACATGTGAGGGAGGACAAAATATTTGACACCATCATCCCTCTGACCATTGCTGGCAGTGTCAACCAGTTTTTGGTTTTTTTTGCAGTAGCCTGCTTCCTAAGTAATTCTCAAAATATATCTTTGGTCAAATCTTTGGCTAAGGATCTCAGTGTGTATTAAGTTGCACAGTTCACAGGCGATCAGATGGATCATCTGGTTGAGAGGTATCCTGTATACTGAAGCTAGCAGTCCTCTGCAGCAGCGAGGGGCTTGAACTCGATTTATAGAATAAAGGCAATGAAACACTTTAAAAAGTTGCACAGTTCATTCTGGTGCTTGAGTTTGAATTGAGTAATTTAAACAGCTCCAATGATTAAGGGCAAACTTTTGAGAATCAGCTTATTATGAAAAAAAATGTTTTGTGTTTTTCTGTTCTTAATCCCTTATTACACACTTATAACATTCAGTAAAACAAAACAACTACCAGATGTTGAAAGAAGTAGTGGTCCTTAAAATAAATGACACAAGCACATACTCACAGGAGATTTTAGGACACTTTTATAGCTAAAACAGCAAAATACTTCCAGGCAGCCTGCTAAACATTATAGGTCTTAAGAAAATGAAGAACAATTGTTAGAATTCAGTTTAATAACAGAAAATTACATTTGTTTTACTATTTACAACTTAATTCTCAGTTTTTTCTTTTACATAGAAAAAACAGCTGTTTTCTGTGAATTCATAGTTAATGTCTGTTATTTAAGTGCACAAAAAAGTCCTTTTTTTGTTTGCTTGGTTTGCAGATGTGATAAATATATACACACACAGACCCAGTGCAATGTGTGCTGCATAGTCAAACCTTAAAAAGTGACTCTTGAAGGGCTGTGACAGGATATGGACGTCACACAAGTTAGATTTGAAAACAATCGGCTTCCTAGGCTGCGAGTCTGGAGGATAAGTAAGTGGATGAGCTGGTTGCGGTCTTCTTGGCACAGATGCATATAATTTTGGTGCTTTGTCCTGTGTCTTGTGTGGGCTTAATGCTTAATGCAATAATAGCACACAAAGCTGTTACCAACAGGCCACAATGTGAGCATTGCTCTGCTGCGTTCTGCTTTACTACAACAAAACCAAATAGCTGCAAAACCGCCACCAGAGAGCTGCTGCTCGTACATTTCTGCTCCGTGGAGCAGCATTATCATCCGCAGCCAATGTGTTCCGCCTCCCATCGCCCCCGGGTCATATGCAGAATAAGGCAGTGTAGTAGCTCCACTGAGATGGAGGAAAGGAACAAAAATAAAATAAAGTAAGACAATGTTTTTGTTGTTTTAAAGAGGCTGCTGGAAGGGGCCGTGTTGCAAAGCATCCCTAGGGACACAGAAGAAACGGTAAGGAGATGATTCAGGGGAGGCGGCAGGTAACAGTTCGTCTCCCACTCATGCAGCTTCACGTATGCTGAAGTTCATTAATGGTGTGCATTTCATAGATTTAGCTAACTTTAGTCACAATGCCCTGGGTCTTTTTTTAGAAACTGGGTCACATCAATGTAAACTCAGAATAACAAGCAAAGCAACAAGTTTTGTTTTGTGGTTTTTGTTTGTTTTTTTTCCAGAAATTGTTTTGCATGCATGTCAGTGCTGCAATCTGCTCTGAAGCTGACACGTCTCCTTTTAAGTGCACTATGCATTTGTTCATTTCAATTTTCATGCGATGTTGTGGCAGAGCGCTTCCTATTTCTTTTTAACTTCCTTGAAGTTGAACTTCTTTAAATTTAGCTGCAGAGCATCTTTTTTGTTTATAGAGCTGGCGCTTTTAGGCCTACAGGTGGTAATCATAATCTACAAATGCACTGGGACTGAATACCAAATCCATATTGGCTTTGCTTTTAAATTCAGAGAAGCTATACTGCAGCAGCTTTGACATTTAAGCATAACTGCCATGCTAGTTTTCTCCTTTTGTGTCTCGAAGAGACTTTATTTTAAACTTTGGGGAAGGAATGCACAAATTTAAAGTTATATTTAGGGGTTAAAACCAGGTATGAATATGCTTTTTGGACATATCTTGAATGAGAAGTCCACAGCAAGTATTTAGAGTATTTTGGGTAAGTAAGCTAAGATTCACATGTAACTGGTCTTGTGGAGATAAAATGTGCTTTTGACTTTGCCCAGTGTAGCAGTAATCAGGACTGGGAGGACAACCCTGATGCTTCTTCACACACAGAACAGGAAGAGAATCACGCTGCTCTTCAACTACAGGAAATACCCTCTGTGCCGATGACGCAGGTCTCAGGGGAAAGCTCAGCAAATTCTGTAGAGGTGAAGCAAACTGTAAACTGTGTAAGTGCAAGGCTGCCTGTGCAAAGCTGTGCAACATATTTCAGCATGGACACACACACACACACACACACACACACACACAAACGTTCACGCATTGAGATACATTATTTCTTTAAGTTCTATCTTGTGTTGTATGTTAAAACTATGGCATACAATTAAGTTTGACTTAGTTGTCAAACACAACTACAGGATATGCCTTTCTCTCCCTCAGCACCAGCTTACACACATGCACGCAAACTAGATGAAAGGACGTAAATCTGTAAAGCTGCCACTAGATGATAAGTCTGAGCAGCGAGATTTCCCCCAGCAACACGTCCAGCGGTCTGCCTAATTAGAGCCGAGTGTATCTGTGGGCAACGGAGTCTGTATCTGCAAATGTAAAGGGGATTTGGCCGGGAGCATTCATTCACTCGGCTGTCTGGTGGGAAGACAATGGTCAGGGCTGCAGATTGGATTTCTTGTTTCCAGAGGAAAAAAAGAATAATGCCGGTTGAATATCCCATAGAGATGGATTTATTGGGAGTGCTGGTATTGGAAAAATCCGGTTAGGGACTTAATCAAAACAGAGCAGCAACAGCAGCAGAGACTAAGCTGAGCCTGTAGGCCAGGCCAAACTGAAGCCAGCCCTGCATATCCTGTCCTTTACCTGTCCTCTCTGTCCTCAGAGTGGGTCCACTCCACTCATTTATCCTTTGTCTGAGCCATTATATGAAAGGGCGTCCTCCCTTCCTGTCCTCAAGGATAAGCCCTCCCTCATTTCTGCGTGTGACCTCATGCAGAATATACGAACATTTTTCTGTCTGTGTGCAGAGTTTTGCTGTGAAACTCCAAATCAGGGATACCTAGACCTCAAGAGTTACTTAAGCACTAATCAGGAATAAAACAGAACACATAGAATATGGATATAATACATCAAATGTAAGGCACAAACACAATAAAACTATACAACAGTGTCCAATGATGTTCAGTTTAAGCTTATTTGGTACATGAAGGTTGTGTAAGTGACGTTTTTAAGTTCATTTATTTAATGGTTCTTTGGAACCTGGCGTCCACATGTGTGGACATCACATTTTGGGCCGTCTAGACCAAAATACTTAATTTTGCTCTACAAGGGCCTGATATCCCCTTATGAGGACATTATACTCCCACTGTTCTATCAAAGACATCCTCATATGTGGATCTCATTTTTCTCAGAAACAAAAATCAGGTAAAAAATAAATAAAAATCTGGTAATTCTTTGTTTTTACGTTCATCTCGTCCCAATCAGCCCAAATAGCAAAGAGAAATTAAAAATGCATGCCGTGAAAGAGTTCGGGTCTTAGGAGGTTTAGCTAAACAATTTGACTTTCATTAACAGAATCCCAGCTGCTGGCTGCACAATCATTTCATTTTATTATTTTAATACATGGATGTTTATGCATTTCAATCAGAAGTCAGTGGTATGTATCGAATTACAGGATGCATAACCAGTCAAATGTTTTACTACACATCAATGACTCCTTTTTTTATTTCTTCAATAAAATATAAGAATCTTTAGTTGAGGTCATAAAAGTAAGTAATGAAACAATGCGTAACAATGCCAGGTTAACTTATTTCCTCCTATAGCTATAAGATAATGACCAAAAGCATTAGAAGGAGAGAACTAGGTGATTGGCTTCAAATAATGGAAGTTTCCAGACTAAAATCTCACTGAGATGCTTTGAGATGAAGTGGATAGCAGAGAGAAAGCAAAGTAACCAAAGTGCCACACATTTCTGCAACACTGTTTGGACAAATGTTTCAACCAAAGTTTCGTTTAATGTAAGAAGAATGTCATAAGTGTGCTCATCAGGTTTTCACATTGAATCTAGGATTTAAAATTTAATTACTTATGTAACAAGTGTCACCTGGCAGTTTGTTGCTCTCTGCCAGGTGATTGGCTGAAGAGTTGTGAAAAGGTAGTGGGTGTGTGGGGTGAAGTCAGCGCTCTTCTGTGGAAAAAACCAGAGGCAATTAATTCACTCAGGTGCGAGTGGGTATACTGTCGGTAAGAGACTTTTGCCATTTTTGTTTGGATCTTTTGCTATTGCATGTGGCTATTTTTAATGTGTCATTGGACTTTTTTAGTGTGACCACGAATTTTAATAGAAGAATTGATCAAGCCCTAGATCGACTGCGCGCAGGGAAACTGATCAATATTGTAGGTATATTGAGTGTTTGTTTTAGCTTCATGATTTTGAATGGTTTTATAAAATTGCTATTTTATTGGGTAATATTTTAATTGATAATGTTGTTTGTTTTTCAGCTGTGCTGTCTCTGCTGTCTTTTTTTTTTTTTTTTTGTTCTTTTGATTGATTTGTAATTTTGTTTTGGTTAGTCCGTCCAGCCGTAGAGGCGGTTATTGATTGAGAGTAAGTTTTGTAAGGGCGGACTAACCTCTCTTTTGTTTTTTTATTTTAATTGTTTGTGCCACTTCCCTTTATTTCTCAGATCACAGGCCATACATAGCACTGATTCCCAGTTGCGCTGAGACCCGAATTGTTTGCAGTGTGTGCCACGATTGCAGTGTCGCTAAGCGGGGTGTGACGGGTTGCAGTGTTATTTCGCGCAGTTTGTATGGTAAGTCTCATGTGCAGCTGGGATATCAGCAGGATGTGTTGTAAGTCCTGTCTGGAAACGACTGGGAATTTGTATGTTTAACTCATGTAATAAATAAATGATCAATTATTTCTTTGCCCCGTTTACTCATCCCTTGTCCTCGGTTACACTTATTTTTAATTTGTACTCACACTGACACTCACCGGCCACATTACTACATACACCTTACTAATACCACGTTGGATCCCTTTGACCTTCTTTATGATTTAGGATTCGTGTAGATTTTGGCTCATATTCAGTTTCAGCGTTCAAGAAACCAGTTTGAGATGGGCTTTGTGACGTGGTATGTCTTCTTGTTGGAAACAACCAGTGTTGGGACTAACGCGTTACAGTAACTACGTTATTATTGTGGTAACAGCACGGTAACTAGTTATTATGCCAAAACCAGGAACGCGTTACTCGTTACTGGGATTTAGATAGGGTCGTTACTCGTTACTTCGTGTGGTGGCTATCGCGGAGCTTCCACAGATTCAGTAACATTAGCAAGTGGTGGAGGCCAGCAGGTGGATGAAGGAAAAGGGACACAGAAGGAAAAGAGACCCGAGGCGGCCGCCGGTCCAAGTGTGAACTGAACTTCAGGTAAGAAGTTATGACCTGCAGTCTCTCTGGGTCAGATATGAACCAAGTTTAGGTGGAGTTTATTTTCGTTATTCTGACTTTTTCCGTACTGCGTGCTAGCTAGCATGACAGAGTTTCTATACAGCTGGGTGGTGCTATGAAGTTAATGATGTTGCACTTTATTTTGTTCATAAGTTATTAGAGTTGCCAACCGTCCCGTCTGGTATTCAGAGAAAATATTAGGCGTTTCTTATTGAGGTGAAAAGGAACAGTTTGTCCCGTAATTCAGCTACAATGAAAAAGGCACAAAGCTGGAGTTATTCTGTGTCTTTGCTGCACAGCTGCCTCTTCTTCTCTCATCCTGTGCCCCTCCCTCTCCTGTTTCTACTTCAATCATGAAACTGATCAATGATCAGCTTTTCTCTCTTGTTTGTTTATCGCCCACTTTGCGCCGAAAGAGGAAACCAGCGGATGTCGCGCTAAACAACAGCAGCACGTTTAAGCTTGATCAGCTATTGTTAGAATTTATTTAATATTAATTTCTAGTATCAGCTGATGTTTGCTGGAGCCACAGCTGCAAAAAAGCTGCTGGTCAGGATGTCGGTTTGGATATGTGGTGAGAGGGAAACATGAAGATGAAACCAGGAGATGTCCTTACTGAATCATCAGAGCTGAACAGGTGATGGAAAAACAGGTTTACCTTTTAGGTGACATGAATGAGTTGAAGGGAAGTTATGAACTGTTTCTGAGAGACAAATAACCCCAGGATCCTTTTTTAGGTAGCTGACAGCTGGTAACTGTGCAGGTGCAGATCTAGCAAAGTGTTGCCAGGGGGGCAGGTAGGGCATTAACAGGGAAAGGGGGGCACAAAGAAATACTTTTCTTTCTTATTCTCATTTAAAATGTCTCGCTTTTAAAAAATAATTATCTGAATCTTACAACAAACGATTGATAGATTGATGCATATGTACCATCAAAACAGTGCACATCACTGTCACAACAGCGTTTGTTTTCATTCAAAGGCTTTATGATTTTTCCTATAATGGTGGGCCGGTCTCTAGTCAAAATGCCCAGGACGATTTTTTTGTCCCAGTCCAGCCCTGTATGCAGCCAACCCGTTCTCACTCCCAAAGCGTAACATTTTACGCTAGGTGACAAATCGTCACCATATTACGTTTTCGGCTACCCACCACGTTCCTAAATGACGACCTCGGAAAAAGAGGAAATATGAGAACCGTCTGGACTGAACCTACACATGTTCGCTCTTTTTCTTCAAATCGCTTAGAAACACGCTATTTAACATCATTAAAGTCCTGGTTAAGGTCAGGAATAAGGTTATGGTCAGGGCTAGGGATAAGGTTAGGTTTAGGGCTGAAATACAGGGCTGGAACGTCTACTACCGCGGGAGCGTCATTGCACTGGATTCCAGCAATAACCCGCCGCGTACCATAAGAACGCCGAAGGTCTCCTTTCGCGTTCCTCAGGAACGCCGCGGGACGTGACAAAACGTCGACATGTTACGCCTCGGGAGTGAGAACGCTCTGATGCAGCTCATCTGCAGTCTGGTGTTACCTACATCTTCCTATTCAGAAGGCAGAATTTCCGAGTTCTTAGTACAATCGAAAGCACCACGACTGCAGTTTTTGTGTTGGATGTAAAAGACGCACATGACGCTGTGACGTAGGCTAGAATCATGGCAGCAGTCAATGACGGTCCAGGCGTGGGATTTCTCTCGTGGAAATATGCACATTATCTTTTCCTTTCTATTGGTAGGTGGCACAGTGCACTTGTGGCAAGTAAGCAAGCTAGAAGACTGGCAAAGTTATGGAAGAAACACATTAACAAGAGAATTCTGAGTAAAACCAAAGTTACTTTCCCTAGTAACTAGTTACTTTGAAAGTAACGAGTAACTTGAAGTAACTGAGTTACTTTTGAGAGAAGTAACTAGTAATGTAACTAAGTTACTATTTTAAAGTAACTTACCCAACACTGGAAACCACTATAAAGGGATGGAAATGGTCGCTAATAATCCTCCATAGAAAACCCCATAGTCTGAACTGCAAGTCCTGATGTATCTGTACTTTACAACAAATTTTGCATTTAAGACTCATCAGACCAGGCAACATTTTTGTCGATGCTCTGTTGTCCAGTTTTGATGAGCCTGTGCAAACTTTAGCTTCAGTTCTCTCTTCTCAGCTGACAGGAGTGACACATACGTTCAGTGTGTTGAGCATTGATAGATGCTCTTCTGCATACCTTGGTTGTAGCTATAGACAGTGCAACAGAGAAAAAAAATCTGACAAGGAAGGGTGGGTCTGACTGTGAAACTGCAGACCCACTAGCTAATGACTGCTCATTAGCCAATGTGTGATTTTTGTCGTCTGTTTTGAAACACCAACAAACCTTCAAGGAACATACATGTATGTATGTATGTATGTATGTATATGTACACATATGCTATATACATATAGTATAATCATTCTAGTACAATGCTATGAGATATTGTAACACACCATTCTAATCTGACATTCCATTTGGGGCTATATTGAAGTAACAAATGTACAAATATATATACAATTGTGTGATTTGTATATTCATAAGACCCTTATGAAAAGGAAACCGAGGGAACAGTTTACCCTGCCCGGGATAGGGTTACCGGGGCCTCGCCCTGGAGCCAGGCCCGGGGAGGGTGCCCGAGGGCGAGCGTCTGGTGGCCGGGCCTTAGTCCATGGGGCCCGGCCGGGCACAGCCCGAAGAGGAGACATGGGCCCATCCTCCCGCAGGCCCACCACCCGCAGGAGGCGCCATAGGGGTCGGGTGCATTGTGTGCCGGGTGGCGGCCAGGAGCGGAGGCCCGGGTGGCGGCCAGGAGCGGAGGCCCTGGCGGACTGACCCCGGCTGCCAAGACTGGCAATAGGGACATGGAATGTCACCTCTCTGGTGGGGAAGGAGCCTGAGTTAGTGCGTGAGGTTGAGAGGTACCGGCTAGATATAGTCGGGCTCACCTCTACACATGGCTTGGGCTCTGGAACCAGTCTCCTGGAGAGGGGCTGGACTCTGTCTCAGTCTGGAGTTGCCCTTTGTGAGAGGCGGCGGGCTGGGGTGGGTATCCTAATATCCCCTCGGCTTGCTGCCGGTACGTTGGGGTTTTTCCCGGTGGACGAGAGGGTTTGTTCCCTGCGCCTTAGGGTCGGGGAACGGGTCCTGACTGTCATCTGCGCTTATGCGCCGAGTGGCAGTTCAGAGTACCCAGCCTTCTTAGAGTCCCTGGGGGGGGTGCTGGAGGGTGCTCCGCCTGGAGACTCTGTTGTCCTGCTGGGAGACTTCAATGCTCACGTGGGTAACGACAGCGAGACCTGGAGGGGCGTGATTGGGAGGAACGGCCTCCCTGATCTGAACCCGAGCGGTGCTCTGTTATTGGACTTCTGTGCTAATCACAGTTTGGCCATAACGAACACCCTGTTCGAACATAAGAGTGTCCATAAGTGCACGTGGCACCAGGACGCTCTAGGCCGTAGGTCGATGATCGATTTTGTAATCGTATCAGCAGACCTGCGACCATATGTTCTGGACACTCGGGTAAAGAGAGGGGCTGAGCTGTCAACTGATCACCACCTGGTGGTGAGTTGGATCAGGTGGCGGGGGAAGACGCTGGACAGACCTGGTGCACCTAAACGCGTAGTGAGGGTGTGCTGGGAACGTCTAGCAAAGGCCCCAGTCCGCGAGATCTTCAACGCACACCTCCGGCAGAGCTTCAACAGCATTCCGAGGGAGACTGGGGACATTGAGTCCGAATGGACCATGTTCAGCGTCTCCATTGCCGAAGCTGCTGCATTGAGCTGCGGCCGCAAGGTGGTTGGTGCCTGCCGTGGTGGTAATCCCCGAACCAAATGGTGGACACCAGAGGTGAAGGGAGCCACTAGGCTGAAGGAGTCCTATCGGGCTTGGTTAGCCTGTGGGACTCCGGAGGCAGCCGACAGGTATCGACAGGCCAAGCGGAATGCGGCTCGGGCAGTGGCTGAAGCAAAAACTCGGGTGTGGGAGGAGTTCGGAGAGGCCATGGAAAAAGACTTTCGGACTGCCTCGAAGAGATTCTGGCAAACCGTCAGACGTCTCAGGAGGGGAAAGCGGTGCTCTACCTGCACTGTGTATAGTGCTGGCGGAGCGCTGCTGACGTCGACTGAGAAAATTGTCAGGCGGTGGAAGGAATACTTCGAGGACCTCCTTAATCCCACTGACACGTCTTCCGAGGAGGAAGCAGAGTCTGGGGATGAGGGGAATGACCCGCCAATTTCCGGGGACGAG